TTGTGTCTTCTTTGTACACAAACCACATACACCTATTTTGATTTGGGGAGAAACACAGGTGGGCTGGGGACAGGAAGCCCCGGGACTTCCTGTCAGGGCTTCCTTTGTTAGCGAATGGAGGAGCAATGAGGTCATTGGCTGTTGGGTGCAGAAAGGGAGGATTCCCCATTAAAAAGAAAACGACTTCAGTGCCTTCCCTTTCCTCTGGTTAAGCATGCCTGGCTCTATATTGGATCACAGTTTCGTAAGGATGTCGTATCCCATTGGGGTACCTCGGAAAGCCAGATTTCCCTCCTCTGCCTTGGTTCTGTTTTTAAACCTTCTCCATGAGGCCCTCTACTTGTCTGAATGCGCTTCCCAGCAAGCCCCCCTCCCCCCGCTCCTGGCCCCGGGCTGAGAGCCACTCCTCCGAGGAAATTTCCCACCAAGGGGCCTGATGGAAACCTTCTCCGTGAGGCCCTCTACTTGTCTGAATCCGCTTCCCAGCAAGGCCCCCCCCCCGCCCTGCTCCTGGCCCCGGGCTGAGAGCCGCTCCTCTGAGGAAATTTCCCACCAAGGGGCCTGATGGGGTGTGGTCTGTAAGCTTGGGGGGGCCCCTCAGGCTGCTCTCTGGCTTCTGGTGAGGTCCACCTGGCCTTACCTGGCTCAGCTCTTCAAGACAGACTTCTCAGGTGAGGCCAAGCGGGGACCTAAGCCACTGCCCCTTCCAAGTCGTCCAGTTGCCCCTTCCATCGGGAGAAGCTGATCTCCTGCTCCAGAACACAGCCTGCCTGCTCGGCTTCTAGGGTTGCCACCCCAGTCCTAGGGAGGCCGCGTGCTTCACGCTTCCCACCTGGATGGCCAAATCACATCCTGACCCGTCTCCTGACTCATTCCGTCTCGTTGCTCTTCGCATTATCTTTGCATCGTGGCTTTGGTCTTCCTTCCAGAGGCTCTGCTGCCTCAGAATTCGGGAGTGGGAGCACACCTTTGAATGCCCACCAGAAAGTGCAGACCCTCTGTGCATGCAGAAAACGACTATCTCGGGGAGAGGGAGAGGCGGGGAAGGCAGGCCACGTAACCAGTTTATCCTCTTCTCTCACAGAAGATGAAACCGATCGTGCAAAGGCGAAGATCCACCTCAGCCATCAGCAAAGCTCTCAGCAAGACCAAGTCGAGGTAAGCAGATAAAAATGCTTCGCGTGAGGCGTTGGCTTTCTTTCTTTGTTTAGTTAGAATGTTTCTATGCTGCCTCTTCAGAGTCCTGCTCAAGGCAGCTTAACAGTGAAAAACCACACTATTAAAACAAGCCAGACATCAGCAGCATAAAAACTATCCATACAACAGAAGCAGACCATTCAAAAGCTGGTAAGATAAAACCCCTAACTGAAACCCTGGGTGAAAAGAAGTGGGGGTTTTTAGCCAGGGGCCTAAAAGTAAGTAAAGTAAGTGCCCAGAGGGACTCAAGGGAGAGTGCGTACCGGAGGTGAGGTGCCACCACAAAAAATGCCCTGTCTCTAGTTGTCACCGGCCTCTCTGAAGGTGGGAGCTCAAAGAACGGGGCTTGTGAAGCAGATCTTAATTGGGAGGCTGCATAATAAAATGGGAGGAGACCGTAGTTCATGTTTTATTGCCCAGAATCAGTCCCAAAATTGAGACATGGTCTTCAGGACAATCAGAACAATAATTTTATAAATGTGTAATCATTCTTCTTTTAACACCTCTATTTAATGTCTATTATGTTTATCTAGCAGCCTGGATAACTTGCTAGAGCTTGGGAGATAAGCAGTATTGGCCGTGGTTAGTCCAAGGGTGGGAGACCACCACGGAAGGCCGGAAGGCCGTGGCCAACCACCTCTGCCTCCTCTCTGGCCTGAAATGCCCCAGGACTGGGGGGCCACTATGAGCCGGTGTGACTCGATGGCCCTTTCCCCCTCCTCCTGTGCTTATCCGTGTACACGTGTACACTCTATTAAAAACGTGTGTTGTGACCCTTATTTGTAATCTGCTGGTCTCCGTTTTTAACTCCACGTTTCTCCAAGCGAAGCTGCCGTGCGAGGGACTGCGGGGCCCACGTGCCGCCACTGCCTCCTGGGCAGTCCTCTTCTGCTGGTGTGGGAGAGGCAGGGCAGGGGCCCCTGAAGCACGTCTGGAGCGGGTCCGCCTTCTCGCCTGTGCCCTTCGGCCCGCACCAGGGCTCGAGTCAGGCCTCTGCTGCCCACCCTGCGTGCCCAGCCTCCAGACTCAGGACTGCCAGGTCCCCGGCCAGCCACAGCCCCAGGCTCCTGGGGGAGACCCGGAGGAGGAGAGGGCTAGTTAGGGTCGCCACGTCCAGGCTGGGAAACTCCTGGAGATCTGGGGGCCTGGCTGCTTCGGAGGGCGGACTCTGGGGCATTGCGTACCCTCCCCAGGCCCCTCCCCTCCCCAGGCTCCGCCCCCTCAAAGCCCCAGGTGTTTCCCAGGCCAGGGCCGGCAACCCTACGCCTCCGTCGGGTTCTCGAGGCAAGAGACGTTCAGAGCGGGGTCGCCATCCCCTGGCTCTGCTATCGTGCTCCAAAGTTACTGTCTGTCTGTTCCGAGGTCCTCAGGAAACCCTGGGCCAGTGTGGCTACTTCTAGTCTTTAAAAAGAGCTCAGATTTTTCTCTCCACCCTGGAATGAGGTGACAGAAAAGGGAAGACCGTTCTCTGTTTCTGTTGGGTTCCAAAAACAACCTCATATATAATATCTCCTGGCAGTTTATTTAATTGAAATAAATATTTCTTTAATCCCAAGATAAAAACTTTAAATGATTTACACTTAGAGCCAAACAACCTTTTAAGAGAGCACCATTTTTCATTCCATGTCCTGCCTTGGGGAAGGAGCTTGTCCCGGTTCCAGCGCTTTCAGATGGGAGGGCAGCAAACCCGGCAGAGCCCTCCCCTCTCCCCAGCGCTGACGGCCTTGGCTTTATTTGGATGCAGGGAAGGCTTCCTTCTGGCCCCCAGGAGACGGGTGGGGGGGTGGCCTGGCCCTTGACATTTGCCACCAGATCACTGGTGGATTCCTGGGACATCGTTCCTGCTGTGGCTGGGGTCGCCCTAGAAGAACAAGGGCACAATGATGGCGTCCTAGCTAGAATCGCACTCCTGATTGTGCCTTATTAATTGATGTATGCAAGCTGGGGCCCCAGGAAGAATGGGGAGCACGACAACCAGTTGGGGAATACCAGTCAGCCCTCCTGTCCCACTAGCACGATAAGCTGAGCTCTGGAGGAAGAGGCACCAGGATACTATCACACAACTATCCTGTGGGTTGATGGAAGAAGGAGGGGCACAACTTGTGGGAGAGGGAGGAGATGGACGGAGGGAATGCCTTGCATGATGCCTTTTCTGGCATAAACCCAGACCTGATGTCACTGTGTTGGCCTAATGCTCCTAAGGTCTCCTCTAAACTCTGTAGGTATCCCGGAGCATCACGCTGACACAGTGACGTCTCCTCCTCTGGGCTTACACTGGAAGCGATGTTGCTCCATGATTGCCATGATACCCCCCCACCAACTTTCCTCCAAATTACCCTAAACAATTGTGCTGGGCACCTTTCCTCTGCTGAACAGTTCTTCTCTGAGAGGGTTGTCAAAAATCTAATTACCCTAAACAATTGTGCTGGGCATGAGCTAACGGACACAATGGAGGCTGAGTAGAATTCCCTCTTCGCAGCCTTCGCAGCCACCTTATAGGCTTCCTATGAGCTGTTCTTGGGGCTTCGTCATGAGCCCACCGCCAAACTCAAGTCGTCAAAGTTCTCATTTCATCCCCCTGAGTTCCATAGTATACCAGGGAGATGGTTTTTGACAAGAATGAAGAGGTCAGGGAGCGACTACATCGATGGCTTCAGAAAGATGGGAGTTCCAATCTTCTATCAGCTCATCCAGTGAGTCGCCGGAAAGCATCAGATCCCGCAGAGCATTCTGGGACCCAGTTGGGTCCATTAGTCTCTGCAGGCGAGCATAAATCAGCTCATCGCCTAGACAAGGGGGAGTCGGAACAACCAGCCGGGCCTTCAAAACCAAGTGATAAAATGGAGGGAAGGAGAAGAATGCAGTTTTGGGCCCCCACTGGCTATGGCATTTATTATACATCTAATTTATAATGACATTAAAAAGATTACGTCATTTGTCATACAGCAAAGTAAACTTTACAGCAACACATTGATAACAACCCCAGTGCCTGTACTGGAAATTCTGACTTCTGTTCCACATGTATAACCACTAAAACAGACTAATGCATTTAAAGGGTGGAGAGGAAGCATCCTTTTACTACTTTGTTATATCATGGGGAAATATTACCCTCCCCCTTCATAATATTGATGAAGGTTTATTACTGTACTACTATCAAATGCATTCAAGCCAATCAGAATAAAGATAAGGACTTTAGAACAAAACTTGAAAATAAATGGGGGGAGAGAAAAATTAGATGGAGGGAGAGACACTAACTGCTGCTTTGCGAGATCTGGCTGATCTGGGTGCAAGGAAAGGGAGAGAGAAAGGCTAGACTCTTGAAGAAAATGGCCTCCTTAGCAGGCTGCAGGTTGGCCACTCCTGTAGCAGCCATCAACATGCTCCCTTGTCTTGCACCGGTGCTGGGTTGGTTGATGGGCTTAGCATGATCTGTTAGGCGAGTTTGCTTCAGTCTTGTAGAAAGGCGGGTCTAGCTGATGGTCAAAGTGCCTCTTACTGTGCTCGGACTTCCCTGCGCCCCTAGTGGCTGCAGCTGGGACTGCACTGAAAGGAAAACAGTTGGAAAGACGTTCAGCTGGCTTTAGGGGCCCTCCTGCTGACTTGCCCCCTTGAATTTTGTCCCCCCCCACTTCCCGCCCACACTCAGTGGCCTTGAGGCTATGAGCATACTCATTCATCATCAGTCCTTTGAGAGGAGGTTTTTTCCTCTTTTAAATAAAATAATGCCATATTTTCCTGCATACCTGGAGAGATCTCGTATCTTGTCTGATTGCTGCACTGATAAGCACGAAACCATCACTTTTTGCTGTTGGAAGGCATGAGAGAAGGGTCGCTGACTTCAGCTCGAGACAGTTCTGAAGATTTGGGGGTGATGCCTGGTAGGACCGCCATCCGAGCTTGGGGAATTCCTGGAGATCTGGGGGCAGTGTGAGAAAATGACCACTTTGGGAGAGGTGAGGGAGCTCAGCGGGGACGTGAAGCCACAGTGTTCCCCCTCCAAAGTTGCCATTTCTTCCAAGGGAACTGTCGTCTGGAGATCACTTGTAATTCTGGGAGAATGTCAGGCACTACCTGGAGGTTGACAACCGTGCCCAAGCCTGAGGAGCCGAATGGTCAGTAAGCCTCAAGGCAGCCTTTCCCTCCGGCCCTGCTGCCGGTTTTCCTGCCGGACTACATTTCCCAGGCTCCTTCCAGCCTAAGGATGCCCACCTTCAGGTGGGGCCTTGAGATCTCCTGGAATTACAAGTGCTCTCCAGACAACAGAGATCAGTTCCACTGGAGAAAACGGCTGCTTTGGAAGGTGGCCTCTATGGCACTTATACCCTGCTGAGGCCCCTCCCCTGGCCCCACCGCCAAAATCTCAAGGAATTTCTCAACACAGAAATGGCAGCCGTCTCCAAGCTTCAGGGCTGGACTGAGGGGAAATGGAGGGGAAAGCAAGATCCAATCACTTGTGAGGAGGCGGAGCCTTGAGAGGGGGCCATAGAAGACCCAGCACGAGGAAGGAGGGGGGAGTTCACTCAATCCCTGCAGGTGGAGGGAGGGAGGCTGCCCGTGGAGGAGGATTGCCAACCTCCAGGTGGTGGCTGGAGATCTCCTGGGATTACAGCTGAACTCCAGGTGACAGAGATCAGTTCACCTGCAGAAAATGGCCGCTTTGGAAGATGGTGTCGGACTCCTGACACAATCAATTCCCAACAACGTTCATTCAAAGAAGTAACATTTATTGAGACATTGATGCTGCAGGAATCTTAACTGTTTCATGTTAGAACTAAAGAGAAAGCGCGTGACGCAAGTAGATATACATAACTCAGAGGGGTCCCCTGATGGCCCACAGCCAATCAGGTAGCCTACAGGAGCCCACCAAAGTAATGGGCAACGTTTCCCAGGAGAAATACTGCACCAGGCACCCGAAGGTCATATAGTACAACAGACAGATAATGACACCAGTGAAGGCACAGCAGAAACGAAAGTCATCATTCCAAAGCACACCCCCCCCATCTCCATGACATGGAGTCTGTGGCATTATAACTCACTGAAGTCCCTCCCCTCTGCAAACCCCACCCCAGAGCTGGCAACCCTACTGTGAAGGGAGTCCATCCCTCACCCCAAGGCAGGGGTTGAGTCCGACCCGATGTGAGTCAGGTATGGATAAAGCGGTCGGAGCCCAGTCTGTCCGTGGCCTTTGGGGACCTCGTTGCATTCCGGCCGGCTTCTCTCCCTCCCGGGCTGTTCTGCCCTGTGGGCTGGCAGCCTTCCCTGCCTTGCCTCCTCCCTGCTGGCGGCAGGCTGGCCTTCCCTCGCCCGCTCTGCCCACGCCCTTCTTGCCTCATGGGTGGCCGCACAGCAGGGCACGGACGGACTGGGGGTGGAGGGGTGGGGGGTTGCTGTGGGCCCTCCCCGGCCAAGCCCCCCGAAACCAGGGTGGGGGCAGCCAGTCCGTGCCGTTGCCAGCTGCAGCACAGGAGGGAGTGGGTAGGGCTGGGGGGCTCCTAGGAAGGGAATCACAGCCAGCCCCACCACGTCCCAGGATGACACTTCCACATCACATTCTGCTTCTGGAGAGGCATGGCAGCACCCTCAGCGTTGCCCGCGGGCCCACTGAGGACTGGCAGGATGGAAAAGCTTTTAAAAGTGGCCCCTTAGCAGAGGCCCAACATGACTTCCAGCAAATACCCAGGAATAACATCAGGTCACCAGTGTGACGTCAGTGCGGTGTTCTAGGATTTGGGCAAAACTCTGTGGTTAGAGCATCGCATTGGTGCCACACTAGTGACAAGATGTCACTTTGGGGTATTTGCTGGGAGTGACATTGCACCGCTGGCAGGGTGTCGCCCCCTCTCCCACTGGCTGCTCGCCATTGGCACGCCTGGAGCATCACGTGGGGATTCTGGGAGGGAGTTCCAGATTTTGGGGGGGGGGGCAGCCAGAAGGCACGAGCAGAGTTGTTTAAGGAAGCAGGAGACCTTCCTTGGGGGGGGAGTGAAGGGGCAGAGAGAGAGAGAGAGAAGATTGCAGGGGGGAAGGGCACAGGCAGACCTTGGAGAGAGGCCTGTGTCCAGTCTGAAACGGCAGCCTGCCTGCCTGCCTCCCACTTTTGGATTTGTCTCTCTGTGTGTACTGCTTTTTTTCTTCAAGGAAGCCACAGAGGCAGGCTAGATGAACATGATGCAGGACAAAGTGAGTTTTCACGGGTTTCTTAAAGAAATGATTAGCCTCTCCAGGGGAGACTCAGGGCCAAACCAGATACATTGTGGGAATTCCATGTCTGCAGTTTTTGACGTTCATCTCCGTTGCACAGAGTATTTTAAAAGGCTAGGAGCCCAGGACTCTACAGGACTCCCAGCACAGCCTGCTTGGGCCCTGAATTTAATACCTGTTTCTGCATTTCTGTTTGGACCTTCTGTACTTTTCTTTGGTTGAGGAGTTAGGGTTAATGGAGGCAATTGCTTGGTGAAACAAGTGACTGTCCTGGGATTAATTCCACCCATTTCTTTTCCAGCAGGGAAATTATTTTTCCCTTCTCCCATCCTGACAATGGCTTACCAGTTGGGGCCTTTGGGAGCCCAAACTCCACATTCCTCCTGGACGAACGCGTGCACCTGACTGTGGGCCTGCAGACTCAAGAGCGCCACTTGTTCCTCTTCAGCGACAGACTAATTGTGGCCAAGTCAAAGTAAGAGCTGTGGGCCTGATTCCCTGGGCCAAAAGCCAGACAGGGCCTTTTCAAGAGAAGCCGGGCTGATTCTCCCTCCTGAAGGGATTTTACCTTCTTTACCCTCCCTTCCAACTTCTTTTGGATGAGTCTGCTCATTTTATAGAACTTCTTGAAATCCAGTGTGATGATGTTGGCCGTTGCAGGTGAAGGTCCATTTATACAAATTAGAAGAGCACAGTCCTTGACTGGTGCCACCCACCCTTAAGTTTTGGCTGCCTTCGGTACTGGTGGCCTCATAGGTGATCCATTATTGTCTTGTCTCTTAAAAGGGACAATGGCGTTTCTGGGGAAATAACACAACTCCAGTGATGCTTGAAGCACCAATAAGGACGAAATAGAGAGAAGATAGGATTTCTCCCATTTATGCTTGTGTGGCGTAAAACATGAGTGTGAATCACACACCTTCCTCATTGGTGCTCGTAATTTTGCAGAAGTGAAGGAGTTCTGTGTTTGGGATGCTCAGAGAAACTGCACACTTTACCCATGATGCACCTTTCCACTGTCTCTTGCTTGACCTCCAGGTCTTCCTCCAGCTTGAAAATGAAGAAGCAAGTGCGGCTGAGCGAGGTGTGGGTAGGATCCTGCCTCAGTGAAGTGTCGGAGAAAAAGATAAGTCCTGAGAACTCTTTTGTTCTCGGCTGGCCCACGAGCAACTTCATTGTCACTTACAGGTAAGGCCTGTTTGTCTTCACCATTCCCCCCCCCCCCAACATATGAAAGCCAGTTACACACACACCCCTTCCCCCCTGCCCATGTGACCAAGAAAAAGGACCTTTTTGAATATTTTCAAATGACTAGCTTTTTCTGAACAAAACTCTTAAGTGGTTTTCGACTAAGGAATTCACCTGACTTTGAGAGCCTGCTCAAATACCAGAACATACTCTATCAAGTATCTGAAGAAATGTGCATGCACCCAAAAGCTTATACCCAGAATAAAACTTGGTTGGTATTAAAGGTTCCACTGGACTCAAACTTTGTTCTATCAGGGCTATATAATATATTATTAAGTGTAACCTTTCCTCCTCTTATCTCCTTTTTATTTTTCCTAACGTTCTAAGTCACCCCTTTGAGTGAAAGATGCTCTGTTTCTTTTGTACAGTATGTTATAAAATAAAAATAAAATTGCAATGCAAAAAAGAAAAGAAAGAATAGCTTTCATTTTCTGTGACTAAAGTCACAAAGGGCACACAGTGGGGTTTGCCCCTGACTATTTCTTAAAATATTTTCCGCTAAATGGAGCCCTTTCCTTTCTCTTAGCTGAATAAATGGCTGCGATCAATCCCTGTTCATTCCTAGAAGGATTACTTCATGGGCACTTGACAGTTCAGTTCATGCCGTGAGGGCAACAGTGACTTCAGCTCTGAAAGTTTGCTTCTCCTGGGCCCCAGTCACACGGCAAAGTTGCCGCGGGAGAGGCACGGAAGGTGGGCGGATTATCCGGCCGCGATCACACCCCAACATCTGAGAAGTGGAGCGCACCCGTGGCTTACCGCCGACAATGCGCGTTAAAAACTAGTACCTCCAAGGTACTAGTAAACGTTTGCCACGGGCTGCCTCCAGACGCCCCTGGTGTGATCGCGCCGGCGCGCGGCATTCCCCTCCGGTCCCTCGTTTACCCGCCAGCGCCGAGGGAAGGACCCGTGGTGTGCCGCCGGCGCGTCTGATCGCGTAATCGTGAATCAAACTGCGCCGGGGCAATTAGCCACGCCTCCCGCGATATCCGGCCCGTGTGACCGGGGCCCTTGTTCATCTGTTTGTAGCAATGGGGAAGATGGGTGTCACCTGGTGGGGCACCATCCCTGGCTTTCAGGCATCCTCTCGAACTTCTGAATGGTGCCTATGAATGGACATGGTCCTGATTCCACTGTGAATGGTTGTAACCTTACACAAGCGCAGCCCTCCTGAACGTAGGCTGCATTTAAGAAAAGGAATCTCTCTCAGTCTGTAAACAGCGCATGCCTGGTCACTGCTACCAGTACTCTCCCTGTGCCCCTTTATCCTGGGACCAAAAGCTGGGAAACATGATTCTCTGTGGCCCTTCCGTCTCTTCTGAGAATCTTCCTTCCATTTGACCGTACTGTTCATGCCAGGTTCTTGCCTGAAAGAATGAAGTCCCTGGCCTTTGCTTTTACAGCTAGCATATGTTTATGCAAACCCAGGTCTGGGTTGTTTAAGAAACTACCGGGGAAATGGTTTCTAGGAGTTGTAAGTTAAGGAAGAGAGAGAAAATATTAATTAAAAGTTATTGCAAAAAAGGTGAAGACTCTTTGAATCAGACGTTTTCCCCATATCGAAGTCTCCTTTACTCCTGCCTGGAAATTTAGCTCAGCAGAACTAGAGTTTAAGAATGTTTCTTTTTATTAAAATAAAACCGAACCATACGTTGTTTCTGGCCTTGTCAAGGATTGTGATTTATAGTTCCAACTGTAATCCAGAATGGTGCCACCAGAGGCCCTCTGCGGGCCCCCTTGCACACTATCTTACCTCAGCGTCTACTTCTCGTTCCCAGCTCTCCTGAAGTGAAAGAAAGATGGCTGTCAACGCTGCAGTGGTAAGAGATGCCATCTTCTCTATCTCAGCCTGCACCAACAGGTGCCATGTGGTATCTAGAATGCCTGTTGTGTGCCTGCTGTCCCCCTCAGTAGGCTAGAGAGAACCCCCCCCTGAAAGGCGTGGGGTGGGGATAGAGGGATATGTGGTTCTGTTATTTCCTCAGCTGCTCCTGTCTGCAGACTTCACGACACATCAGCCACAACTGCTGTGCTCCGAACCTTTAAACAAAATGAGAACTGTTTCTGCAAAATCAACCGAATTCCAGAAAGTTTTTTTCTACTGAAATAATCTAATCCTTTCTGGTCTCCTCTCTTTCCCATAATCGTAGTTTAGTTATTCTAATAATTGCAGCATGAGTTAGCGTTTGTACTTCTTTCATGATGCTCCCAAGCCTATGGAAACTGGTGTGTCTTGCACATTGGGTTTTTTTTTCCTCTAATGGTATCCTTCTGAATTACAGGCACAGTAATGAAATGAAGCAGAATGAATGTCCCAAAAGTTTATTCATGCAGATTCTGTTGATGGATGGCAACAATAGCTCCTCTGTGAGTACCACTGAATTAAAAAAATCCTCCAGCTGAATAGAAGGTAGTCAAAGGGATCCAGGACACACCCCAGAACAGCAGCTGTTTTGAAAGCATGAGCCAAGCAGAGGTGGCCAACATCTGTGTTTGCAGAAGGTGCTCCTTGCTCCCGAGAGGGGTCTGGAGGGCAAGAGGGTGTTTTGCTACACAGACCAACCCATTCACGGCCTGTTCCAGAACAGAGTCAGCACTGCTTAACAGGAAGGGTTTCGTGGTTATGAGACTCACAAAACCCCAAGAGAACTCTCTCTCTCTCTCTCTCTCTCTCTCTCTCTCTCTCTCTCTCTCTCTCTCTCTCTCTCTCTCTCTCTCTCTCACACACACACACACACACACACACACACACGCAAATTAGTTTTAGAATAAACTCTGTTGTCATGGATAGTGCCAGCGTACTTTGTTCTGGACCCTGAGTAAAACCATTAGGGTTGTCATAGATGAGATCAACTTGTTTTGTGGGGCCTGTGCTGGCCAGCTCTCACCTGGACTTCAGTTCCTTGTCTCCTCTGAGTCTTGCTCTCAGATCTCTCCCTTCCCACCTTTCCTGCATCTTCCCTCTAACAACCGCAGCCAGTGTTTGTGCCGCCATGCTCAGTTACTCTGACAAATGTGTACTAGTGATGAAGATTCCATAGCAAAGATGTACGCCACAAACTATTGAATCCTGTTCAGTCCCACCAACTTTGTGGTCTTTGGATACAGCCATGGTGGGAAGCAAGAGAAGAACCCTGATGTTTTCTTCCACTGCTTAGTTGGCACTAAATCCATGCAGCAGCTGTGCCTGTGGCTGCCAGTCTCCAGATGGGGCCTGGAGATGTCCCACTGTTACAACTGATCTCCAAACAACAGAGATCAGTTCCCCTGGAGAAAATGGCTGCTTTAGAGGGGAGACTTTATGGCATTGTGCCCTGCTGAGGTGCCTGGCCTGGGCCATTCTCTGCTTCCGTCCACCTGCTCCCTCTGCTGAAGGCAACTCCTCAAGGAAGGGACCTTTTCTTTACTGCAAAATGCCTGCTGGGGGGGGGGACCCCCAACCTTTCTGAGCCTGCAGGTGACTTTGGGATTCTGATACCGCTTGCAGGAGGCAGAGCCAGTCACAAAATGGCTTCTGCAGCTGATCTGCAGTCACACAATGAAGATCCCTCTGCTGTGGTGTATATTTTTGGGTATATTTTGTTATCCTAAATATATCTGGGATTTTTTGGGAGAACTGAAAAAAAAATCCCTGAAAAAATCCTGGATATTTTTGAGAATTACCGTCAACAGCAGCTGAGGGGCTGGAGCAGATTGCTGCCACCACCAGTGTTCCCTCTAAGCTGAGTTAGTGTGAGCTAGCTCACAGTTTTTTAGCCTCCAGCTCACACACTTTTGCCTTAGCTCAGGAAGGGATGGCTCCAGAGCACACTAATTTTTGCAGTAGCCAAATTGCTCGCTCGCAACTTTAATGCCAGTAGCTCACAAGGTAGAATTTTTGCTCACATAACTCCACAGCTTAGAGGGAACAGTGGCCACCATGCAGCTGTTTGGGGGCTTTCTTAAACGGGGGGTGTTCAAAGGGGCTGCAGAAGAGACCCCACAAAACAACAGCCAAGGACACTACACACACACACACACACACACTCTCTCCCCGCTGGCTCAGCTGGGCTTCTTTTGGGCTGTTCCACCGAGCTGCCGAAGAGGGCCCCAGCGGAGCCCCAGCGGAGTTCTCCCCGCAGGGTCAGCTGCTTTGTGAGCTCTTTTGGGCAGTCTGGTTTGAACCACAGTGCCCAAAAGAGCCCCAGCTGAGCCTCCTCTCTGATGTTTCTTTGCGGCTTTGCCACTCCTTTTCCCCTCCCTGTATTATTCAGTTTGGGTCTATTGGACCTTAAAAAAAATGGGATTTCCAAAAAAATCCCAGATCCGAATACTTTACCAGTATTGGGATCCAGTTTTCGTCAGGAATCTCAAAAAAAAAATTGGGGGGGTCCCATAGATCCGAACCAAAAAATACCGAGAAAAAATTGCACACTCCTAGAGGGCACCAAGAAAGATGCTAGCGGGTGCCCGTGGGGACCATCTTGGGGTCTCCTGTTGTAGACCAAGAAAAAGAATGGGGGGGACTGGGGAGACGGGGAGTTCATGATGCCTGTAGAAGTCACTGAACAGTTTTAAATGTGTCCATTAAAGTGTTATCCCATTTAAACAGAGTCACTGGCATCCACCTGTGCAATGTTAGCATGACACGGATCAGTGGCCCCAGGGTCTGTGCCATGCTGATATGAAAACACTGCACATTCCTTGCAGTCGCTCTGAAACGTGCCTTTGTTTTCCGTATCTAGAACACCACAATAAGCATATCCAACACAGAGACCGCAGACGACATCATCAAGAAGACGACACAAAACCTGGGGCTTCTGGTAAGAGTCAGCTTTATATCCCAGTTAGGCCATCAGTTTCAGGGGTCAGGTGGGGGCAGTGCCTGTTTTAGAAAGATATCCTGCCTCCCCCCCAATTTCGTCCAGATTTCCTTTTTTTAAATTAGGCTCCAGTCCCTTTTCCTGATGGAGATGTAAGGGGAAATGCAGTATTCATTTCTTACTCCATTGCCTCCCAAGGGATCCCTGTGGGGATGGCGAGAGAGCTCTTGCCCTGAGTCCTTGGCCCACTCTCCGCTGAACGAACGAACGCCTTCCCTGCATGTGCTGCTCATAACTTTGTCTCCTTTGCTCCTTCCTTCTTCCTGCTTGCTTAATGTCAGGACCAAAAACAGCACATGAGCAGTTCTCTCACAGCACGCTGTGTGTCTTCTGGAAGTGGCTGTACTGTGCTGCTGTATTTAATAAACTCCTGAACTTTTATTTGATGAGGGTTCTCTTTGAGCCTCATTAATGGATTCAGAAAAGCTCTGCCTTGTATCTTTTCCCTGTGCTGAATCTTTTCCCTTCCTCTGGAGGCCAGCAGGGACGGTCATCCTGTGGTTTTCCAGGAGATTTGCAGCTGTGCATTTCCTGGACCCAGGCCGACTCAGCTGATAGCTCTTCCCGTTGTTTTGGACTCTCTGCACAGTTGGATGGCTCTCCTTTCCCCCAGAGCCTGGCCCCATTGCAGACATTGACAACCCCTCTTTCCCTTTCCCTTTCTCAATTCACAGGGCCGACCAAGCGACTATCACCTCTGGGTAATACCAGGGAGCGGTGATCCTGCATACCCACTTGTTGGTAAGGACTAGTGTTGGCAAGCAAGAGTAGAGGCACCTGCTGAAGTGACTGGGACTGAGCCATTCATTTCCGGGGGATAAAAGTGTCATTCCTTTTATCATCCAAAGCTGGTCTTCTGAGAGAGGTCTGAACTATTACCACATCCCAGAATTCAATGGGCCTTTAAATAAAAAGTCATAGATGTTTACTGGCAACATTTGCCAGGTAAGACGTAAAACTCACGCTGTCAGATTAATGCATCAGAGAAGGGCTGTTCGAATGCAATATATTCTTTCAATAAAATGCTTTAGAAAGTTTCTGATGAAGGCTTGGGATTAGAGTGGAATTGAATGGGAAATGGATGCAAGTTGGATACTTCCAGCTATTTGTATGCATCTCTGCTATAATTCCAAAAACAAACTCTTAGAGGAAAGTTTTGCAGAGTCAGAGAAGGTTTACTGTTGAATTCTGCACAAGTGGAATTTGCTGAGAAATGGGTAGATCTGATAAGGGGAGGAAAAGCAGATTCCCCTTCATGTACCCTGCTTTCATCAAAAACCTTCCTACATTCTTTTAAGAAGCACTTTATTGTTTATGAAAGCTGAAGAGTACAAAATTCACAAAGCAATGTATTTGTAGGCACCAAACACAAGAATTACTGTGTATGCAGCCTGAAGACTACAAAGTCCATGGTGCAGGGCAACCAAATGAATTGGCCTGTGTGAAAACATACAAATTCTAAAAATTCAGTAAGGAGCTATTATTAAACCAGAAGAAGCCAAAAGATAGATAATCTTTCCACTAAAGTACATGGCTTTGGCGTAGGCACCAAACACAAGAATTACTCTGTATGCAGCCTGAAGACTACAAAGTCCATGGTGCAGGGCAACCAAATGAATTGGCCTGTGTGAAAACATACAAATTCTAAAAATTCAGTAAGGAGCTATTATTAAACCAGAAGAAGCCAAAAGATAGATAATCTTTCCACTAAAGTACATGGCTTTGGTCAGGAGGGAATTAACCCGTACAGGGGAACTCTTTCTGGAGATGCCTGAAGATAGTTTTTTGGAATCGTCCATACGGATGTGGGTAGATTTTCATTTTGCCCCAGCGAGCAGATAGCAACTCCCTGGAAGTGTTTTAGATCAGGGTAATAGCATAAGGAGAAGTCGTCACCCCACCCTACCCATGATCCAGAAAGAGGGACCTTGCTTCCCTAGTGACTTAGTGAGATCTGTGAACACCCAACTCCAGGCGCCTCTGGGCTGCGGGCAAGTCAGCCAGATCTGCTGCCAAGAAATGCCTGATGCTTTCAGCCAGCCAGCTGCTGGGCCTGTTCCTTTAAATAAGCCGCTTGCACAGCCCACGGAGACATCCCCAAAGAAACAGGATCTACTTGCAGAGCCTCCTGTCAGAGCCATGGCAGCAGAGGACTTCCAGGATGAATGAGTTGCTTTCCGCCTGTGGCTTCTGTAGGGCTTTCCTAACAGCCTTCTCTGGATTCTGCACAATTTTAACTTTTTCTCACCTGCATCTCATAGAGTCCACTTGCTGGAGACACTGAGGGGCCTCATCTCTAGCCTCATGTGCACAGACCCCACAATCTCTCACACATGCAACAGCATATTCTAGATGGTCAAATAAAACAGAACTCCAATGGCCTTTATTTCCAGCATGAGTTTTTGTGAGTCAGAGCTTCTTCAGATGTTAGTAAAGGTAAAGGTCTCCCTTGCTCCTCTTCAGATTTTAGTGTCTGAGAAAAAGGAAGCTCCGACTCACAGAAACTCAAGCTGGCATAAATGTTCTTAGCCTTTAAGGTGCCCTGTAAAGATTAACAGCGCAGTCCTATGCTGAGTTACTCCAGTCTAAGTCCATTGAGATCATGCTGGTAAGACAGTTACCCGGGCCCATAGCCACGCATGGCATCTGGGGGTGTCCCCGTCAGTCCGGGAGGACGCCAGACACCCACCCCCCCGTGCCAGAGGAGGCCAGGCTTCTGCTTCACCAGGGCTTGCAGGAGGAGGAGGAGGAGGAGGAGGAGGAAGCGTGGCGAGCAGGGAGCCTGCAGCCCTCCCAGTGCCGGACCACAAGGCTTTGTGTATTGGGATGGCCCTCCCCACCCCCCACTCAGCTGCCCCTCGCACTCCCCTCCCGGGTGGCCGTGTGTCCTCGTCAGGGGAGGCCTGCCCACCAAGGTAAGGCGGTAAGGAACTGCAGCTGAGCAGGAGGGGAGGGAGAGGGGGGCTTTCCACAGTGCTAATGTAACTAGCTCTGTTGATTGAATTAGCCACCATGCTCGCTTAATGGAGCTAATTAACTTAGCAGTGTGCTAAACACTTTGCCCCCCATCACGAAAGATTTCCTGGCTATGGGGCTGTTATACTTCTGGGTATTATTCTAAATGATTTTATGCACAGGTTACATTTATCCTTTGGGGGGAAATATCTATTTGATGCATAAGAACTTTGGATTGTTGCTTGTATGAAACGCAGTAAATGGGGTTTGAGATCTGGAACCAAAAGGTAGCAGAAGACGATTTCAGAAACACCAGAAATGAAAATAAAAGCAGTGTAGTAGTTTATAGTTCAAATTCAAGGCACTAACCCTAGAATAATCCTGTATCTTTAAACTGGCCCAAATTAAAATGTTTTCCTTTTTTGTATCATTGGCATTAGTAAGACGATGATGTATGTTCAAATGCCGAATTTAAGTTAGATGAAGTATTTACTTTGGCCAAGGGGACAGAGCATGTCTTTTTGACCTTTCTCATAATATTTAATAACCCACTTCTATTATTACATTTGACATACTGACAGTATCATATTTAGGGAGAGGCTTTTTGAATCAAATGGGAATCAGTTCAGGACTGGATTTTCGATGAAGCTCAGGAAAGTGTGGATGTTTGAGAATTTTTAAATCTGTTTTTTATTTTCAGACCTTCCCATTCTTCACAGAGCTGTGCCTCCCCTTGGCCACACAAGCAATAACATTCCCCTAATCATGGCCAAGAGATCAGATTAATGTGAGGGCTGGCTGACTCTTAGGTTCACATGAGGCCTCCCGTCATCCTGCTACTCAAATTCCCTGCCCTTTTCAGCTCTAACCGTGGTGAGAGTTGCGTGTGTTAGATTTAACATTAGTTATGGTCAGCTTCAAACTAGTTTCAAAAGTGGACTACTGGTAACCTTGGTACAAATGTCTGTACACACTGGCTCCTTGTACCCTGATTCTTAGGGCATTACTAAAAGACCTTAGGGCACCTTCCAACAGCAGCAATTGAAACAGCAGAAATATTCCGAATACAGTAAGAACCATCCTACGCACTGTGGCAGTTGCTGGGACCCACTTGTAAAGGGGACATTACTTTAAGCAGCCTCATGAAGTTGTAAAACTCTTTGACTGAATTAAAGTAATGCATGAACCATCGATAGATAGCCGTAGATCATCATACTGCTTGATGACTGACAGTCTCTGCAGGTCACAGCCCTCAGTCTCCAAAGAAGGTAACCGAGGTTTGTTTGTTTGTTTGCTTCAAGTCCAAAATGAAACCCTGTGTTTCCCAACCAATGGACTGACAAAGTAATTTAAACTTCT